ACTCGCCCCGGCGGCTCGTCCAATTTTGGCAAAATTTCCAAACATCACTCGTACTATTAATCCCTAATTGTACGAGCCATTGCATGATTACCTATACTAATAATGGAAGTGGTTGTAGGTCCGAAGCGTGAAAATTTTATTCAATTTTAAACAAATCCTCCGTAGTATTGTGGTTTTGGCACCCGCGTTGTATGCGCCAACTCGCTGCATGCTCGAATCCTGCTCGCGCCACAGTGTTTTGACCTTTAGCCATGAAGCGAGAAGGTCCGGTGTCGGACCTATAACCACGGCGTAATATAAATACATGATCTGCACTCTGCAGTTCTTATATTTACATATTCTCCAGCTATTAACAATCATGAGCAAAACCCAAAGGAAATCAGCATCATTGGAGGTCAATGTGTTGAATCCCTCTTTCAATAGAGCGTTTGCACTCATTCCCCATGGACCAATTCAACAAAAGCCATGCCGGCCATGTTTGTGTTCCACACAAAAGAGTCTAATTAAAATTCTTTTGAATTGGAACACCCGGCGAGAAATATGGACGGCATTTTGTAAAAAAATCTTACTGCGCGCAGTACGCGTAGTGGAACGGGACTTAATTAATTCATGATCAACAGGCGTTGTGACGTCATGTGTCAACGTTGCGTTGATCAACAGGTTGTGACGTCATGTGCAAACGCTCTGTTTACACATGACGTCACAACTAGACATGGACACAAGTTCGCATGGCACAGCTAGACATTACCACAAATAGACATGGACACAAGTTCGCATAAGCAACACTGAACCTTGGTTCGGCTACTGCCTGAAAGAAAAAACATTGCAAGACAGATAACGTGTCTTAAACAAGAAGAATTAACTACAACTTTAGAAACCCAAACAAAACAAACTTTATCAGTTGTAGAGGATAACGCCATGCATAAGTTCTCCCTTCTCTAGAAGTCCAGTAAGGCTGTTCCTTATATATCTGCAGGCAGATAGCATTTAGATCTAAACTATACTACTGTATATAACTAAAGTTACTATCACGATGAAAGCACTGCTTCAAACTGGACGCTTTCAAAAGATGACTCGGGCAAAGGCTTGGGCTGTTTAAAGTGCCGAATTTCTGGAGCGCTTAACCACTAGTGTCCCTGATGAATCTTTGAGATAATAAACAAATACATTTTGAAAAAATAAACAAATACAATTTCATAAAAAAAATCACAAAGTCAGATGTAAGAAACAAGTAGAAAGATAACACGCGCCTCAGTACAACTTCCGTTTATCGTTCCGTTTGTTAAGTTTGCAAAGTGGAATAGACATCCGTTGATTACATAAGAGCAATACCTTCTCAAATATTCTATCAATCACTCCCTCTAGACGTTCAGGTGTATCAATGTTTAATGCCAAGAATTGTTCCATCAAAGTCTTGAACTTTTGTGGAGTCAGTTTATTCAATATAGCCATGACATTACGGTATAATTCCTGGGTGTATAAAGTAAAATATTGTCAAAATCTTTAAAATGTATTTAATTATTAGATAGACAATCCAATGAACAGAAACAGACCTTTTGGATTTAGGTCTTGGTATAACGTTTGTGCCATCTAGTCTCGATCCACTGATCGAATGTTACATATACTGTACGATGCATATTTGTCTTTTCATTGTTTTGAAATCTATTGCTTTCATCATGCCATCCAGTAACTCATAGTTTTGACGCTTACACAAAGTGTCTCACTTAAGTTTTAAAAATTTTTTGGTAATCGTTCCATGTTTCGCGCACAAATATAGTAAACGTTATGTAATGGATATTATAGTGTACTGAAATGTTAACTGGATACCTCCATACACGTATATACATACCCTAACCCTAACCTTAAACCTAACCCCTAACCCTAACCTAACCCTAATACCTAACCCCTAACCCTAACTTTTATTGGTGCGCGAAACATGGAACGATAACCAATTTTTTGACACTTAACAATTATCGAATTCAGTTTTCGCAAGGCCGAAGTGACTAAAGGGCCTGTTCATATGGGCAAAAGTTATCCCGGTTAACGAGAAAAACTTTTCGACAAGTTTACAAGCGAAATCTCGCCTTTGTATGAAAATAATATGAAAAGTTACACTGCGTCATGAGACGAAACGTTTACTCGCTTGTCGACAGGCGCGATCTCGGTGACTGGGATGTTTTTCCCATATAAACAAAACTTTCCGGCTTAGCGGGATAACTTTCGGTCGTGTCAGCAACTTTTCAATTCAAATGATGTTCAATGCTACTGTACGTCACAGCCGAAAACTTTACCCGGTAAGCGGGATATAAGTTTCTCCATATGAACAGAACAAAAGTATTTGGCTAGTTGAAAAGTTTTCTCGTTAACCGGGATAACTTATACCCATATAAACAGGCCCTAAAACTAAATAATCATATTTAGATGTATCATATGCATATAATTTATAACATGGGCTAATTACGCGCACTCAGTACCAAAATTTAATCAATTTCTCCTTGGACAATGTCCATTTCAGGGCTGAATCCAGCATGATCTGGTAGGGGGGGGG